GCATTTAATTCTATGATACTTTAATATCTATAACTCATTTAAATAATTAGTCACTTTAGTTTTGTATCATACTTTGTGAAAACATTATGCATTATTATACATATATACATATATACATATAATTATAGATTTTAATCTAACACCCTACGTATCAGTAAAAAGAACCAAAAATATCTCCTAAGGCCATCTCCAGCCCTCATCTCTACTCTACAGTCATCTCCAGCGCTATCTTTACATTATTAACAACTCTACTTTATTCACAATATTTAATTATTATAATATTGATTTTACAAATAAAAAATAAAACATATACATTTCTAAAAAAATATCAAGATAAAAAGCATAAATAAAATATTCATAAATAACATTGCGAAAATACAAATAAATACGAAAATTACAATTAATAATAATAATGTGAAAAACATAAGATAAAAAGCATAAATAAATATCGTTTGAGTTTTATCAGTATTTTTTATGTTTTTACGTTTGTTGTAGTTTTTATGTTTCAAGAAATTAGTATGTTTATTTATCTAATTTAAATATATTTTTATTATATTGCAATTTAATCAACTTGAATATATTATATCATGTTTAATTTTTATTTTATTGTGTAGAAATTACAATTAAAAAGAGAAAATATATAATAAGAGAAAATAATTTAAAAAAGAAAATGAAATTAAAAAGAAAAAAAAACAAAAATCATGGAATTTTTTTTTTGTAGAATTGCTACAGTAGCAACGATACACTGTAGCGTCCAGCTCCAATTGCTCTTCAGAGTAGAGATGCATCAAACGCAGGACTTGAGACTCTACAGTGTTTCTCCAACTCCACTTCACGCAACGCTGGAGTTGCTCTAAGATACAACAATGTTATGAGTCAAACAGTAGCACAATTAAAGTGTTCAACGAACTGAGTCTTTTTATATCATCGAAAAATTGATTGGAAAAAAAATAAATTTATATGTGTTAACTTTGTAGGCTTAACGATTAAAATAGGAAATTCGCATTAAAAAATAATTAAAAGATTCGAATAACGAACCAATAAATATCCATCATTAATTCATATTATTTTATTTTTCCATTAATGTACATTATTATGCTTTTCCATCGATTTATAAATTAAGTTAACAATTACCTAAAATAATGACTAAGTTAAAAACCATTAAATCTCTTACCTCTTAAAATTAACGTTTTACCTCTTAAATTAAAAACATTACTTCTCTTACCTTGTAAATTAAGTTAACAATTACCTTATAAATTAACGTTTTACATCTTAAAATTTAAAATATTACTTCTCTTATCTTAAATCATCAACTCCGTTAAAATAAAATAAAAACTAATGACTAATCAAAACACGCTAAGGGGTTGTTTGTTTGCCTCTTAATGGAATCATTCAGCGCTGAATGTTGAACGTTTAACATTCAGTGCGTTTGTTTCGCACCTCTGAATGATTCAGTACTGACTGATTCAACAAAATAATGTTGAATCAGTACATTCTGAATGATTCAGAGCCATTATCAAATAACATGTTACATTCAGAGCTAATTCATACATAGCCTCTGAATCATTCAGCATTTAAATTATTTAACACTTAATCATTATGGAATAAACAAACAATTCCTAAACCATATTTTAATTTTATTTTATTTATCTGAATAAATAAAAATTAATTAAATAAATAAGTAATATACCAAAACTACCCCCACTCATCTTCTTTTCTCCATTTCCACCGCCAGACTCCCTTTCTTCAACCCTAACATCCCTCTAAATTAAGCAAGACCCATCGACGATACTAACAACTTCCATCATCATATCCATGTTAGTAACTTCATAGATCTTGTCATCACCTCCACTTCCACCACCGTCATCAACGATAACAACGATGTATTTGTTTAACTTTTGATTGTTTCACGGTCTGCTTATATAATTTATTCTTAATATTTTCTGGGTTTTTATCTCTATTTTTTCTTATTTTCCTTTTTCTTTTGACTGTGAGCTTTTTTTCTGGTAAAGCATGTGAGGAAAATCTGAAATCTTTTAATGTGTGTTAATTTTGGTGATTTCTGAATTATGATACTGCTGGTGTTGAAGGAAGAATAAGAACTAGGAACTAGACTCATCCAGAATATTTATAATCTTTGAAGATGATCGTCACCTCATGCATACATATGATTATTAATTTTTCCCTCTTCTTCCAAGGCTTTCAGAGTATGTATCCCATGAGTAAAGCTGAAAGAGAAAAAGGGTTAATGTTCCTGTTTCATCTTTTTTAATTTAAAAAAATAAATTAAAGTTGCCTAATGAACCCAATTTAAAATGTTGTTATTATCATTATAACTGAGTCTGAACATTTCTTTTTATTTCTCCTAGATCCAGATGCGGGAGTGGAGAAGGAAAAGGAAGAGTATTGGGAAAAGAAGGCTATGTCGACGGTGGAGATGGGAAGAAGGTGGTGGAGGTGTAATGAGGGTTGGGGGAAGAGGGGTCGTTATTTTTTAGTTAATTTTCATTTATTCAGATAAAAAAATAAAAATTAAATCATGTGTTGCGTGTTTTAATGGAATTAATAGTTAGGGGTAAACGACATAATATTTTAACTTTAAAAACAAAACTTAAGAGACAATTCGTTATAAATGATATATTTTAATTTTTAAATATAGATATTAAAATAATTTAGAATGTTTTAATATATTTTAAATTATGAAACATTCTTTTCACCTCCATGAAGTGAATTTAGAGAAGCAAAAAATTCACATATTCAAAAGTCATGATTGTTTGTGGTTCAAAGAAAGAGGGCAAAACTTCACGTTAATGCAAATGGGAATGTTTAATTTCCAAAACAATGTTGTAATGCTATTATTTTTAAATGGGGTGTTTGCTACAGTTAAGTTTGATCTCTCGACGTCTTCAGCATATTGCTCGGCGTCTTTGTATGAAAGCTTGGAGCTCTCGGCGTCTTCAACACAATTTTCATGGATATCTCGACGTCTTTCATGTGCTTTTGCAGCCAAAGGTTAAAACAAAACCAGAAAAATCTAAAACCCATCTAAAACATGAGAACAAGTTTCAGTGTTTGAGATGATGTTGAACGTCATAATAATAATGCACTTTACGAACTTGATAGAACGAATGACTGATATTAAAATGTTCTTTCTAGATCCTTGGAAGTAATACAGCTCATCATTGTTCAAAGTGATCATAAAAGAATTTGCTTCCTAAACTTTAACATGCATCTAATGCACTAAACACAAAATCAAACCCAGTTTTCTATACCATAAATAATGAGCTTAAAACAATCTTCATATCTCAAACAATATGCAGTAAAGCAACAAAAGTAAATCATGGTTTCGGTTTCTAGTTTTGTTGTAACATTTGGCTGCAAAAATACATGAAAGACGCCGAGATATCCATCATGCATGAAAATTGTGTTGAAGACGCCGAGAGTTTCAATCTTCCATGCAAAAACACCGAGAGCTCCAAGCTTCCATGCAAAGACGCATTGCTGAAGACGTCGGGAATTAAACTTAACTGTAGTAAACACCCCGTTTAAGAAAATAATAGCATTACAATATTGTTTTGAAAATTAAACATTCTCATTTGCATTAACGTGGAAGTTTTGCCAAAGAAAGAGGTGATATAATTTAAATGAAAATCCACGTAGGATAATAGGTCTAGAATGTAAAACAAAGAAAGGTATTTTTTTTTTGTAAAAAAGAAAGAAAAAAAAGTAGGGGACCCATACGATCAAGTTGATATTATACAATCCAATTGCAAAATTAGTTGAACTTGCGATGGGCCCCAACTATGGGTCCGTTAAAGAATCTATACGTATAGTTTCTATTGATAAATTAACTCATAGCCTTTTAGCTGTGAGAAGATTTTAATTTGATCATCGATATTTTAATTCTTATAATTAGATCATTTAATTATTTAAATGATGTCAATCAAACTCTCAATGTTTATGTGTTTTTGAAATTAAAAACTTCAGTTGTTTTCTCAAGCCTCGTTCAAATCTAACGTCAAGCTTCTAACATTGATTATATGTTTTTATGACCTTTAAATGTGACACGTGTCACTTAAGGGTTTTTTAACGGTACACATCTAAAAATATAACGGTGAAAACATTAAGTACTTATTTTTAACGAAAAATTATTTAGGATCAAAAGTCAATTTGAAGTATAATTTAGACACCTAAAAGTGTATTAAGCCTTTTTAATAATATGAATTGATTATTCAAAACTTTCTTAATCTGTTGAAAACATATTTTTTAGACGCAGCTGCTTAAATCAAAGATCACCGGGAGAACAAATTTCTCTTTTACTATTAATGCTTCTTGATAACTTCGATTTAAAATGCCTATTTATGTTTTAGACGAGACAAATTTAGTTGAGTGAAATTCATCTCTTTACGGAAATTTTAGTTAACCCTTTAACAAGTAAACTGATTGAATGTTAAAAGATGATTTAATATCGTTTACAGTTTATTTAGATCTTATAGAGTTATCCTTCTTTACTTTTATTAGAGCCTTGTATCCAACACTATATAATTATATATTTATCGTGATAGAATTGTATTTATAATATTTTATATGTATTCAAAATTTAAGATTTAATATAAAAATAAGTGTTTAATTTTATTCAAAGTTAACTTTTTAGTACGTAAAGAAATTTTTATTAAAACTATATACTTAACATTTTTTGTTACACTTTTAAATATATTTGTAACATTTAATAAATTTTTTAATGGTAGATATCTAAAAGTATAACGATTTTTTTTAAATATTTATTTTTAATAAATAAAATTTTAAACACTAAAAATTAATTTTAAATGTAATTTAGACACCAGGCCAGAATTTAACATACTAATAATCCTACTATAAGGTTTGGAACTTTATATATATACCATTTGAATTTTAGAGCGGCTTTTAGCCTGGGAGAGAGAGCTTCCAACTCTGAGTTGTCTGAATCTGGATAGTAATTTACTGTTTTGTCCTTTACATGTCATTTCCCGGTTTCGCTCCCATATTCAAAAGGTGAGAAAGTAATACGGGCTCTTTGTTTGTCTTACGATTCTCGGCGCAGAAACCAGCTTCGTTTCAGGTATTTCGATTCCTTCTTTGTTTCTTGAATTTCTCTCACCCCTCAATTTCGTTGGATTATTTTTTTTCCACAAATTTCTGTAGTTCTTTCTCCCAAAAATGGTTTTTTTTCACCAATTCGTTCGAATCCTTTTCTTGTTACTTTCTTTGAAATTTTCTAATTCTAATAATGGGGGATTCGAATTGCGAATCGCATGTTTTCATGATTTAGGTTGAGCTACGAACCCTAGTTCTAGAATGTAATTTACCTGCATGTTGTAAAATTGATTACTGATTAGGGTTTCTTCTTTATTTTTTATTTTTGTAAATTACATTTTTGCATTAAGTTTTTTTAAAATGACAGTGAGGTTAGGTCCTCTTAATCATTTTATTTATTTTTGCTTGGTGGAGAAGTGGAATTCAGTCAGTTTTCCGTTAATGCAGCTGTTTAATTAGATTTCCCTGAGTTGGTTTAGAGGTTAAGAATTTGTTTTCTATAAATTTCATGTTAGCATTGGGGGTCGGGGTTCGTGAATTGGTTGTGAGATAAGAATCTCTTTATTCGTTTATTCAGATTATTGAGAAATGCTGGAAAGTTCAAATCTATGTTGCTGTTAACTCATCTGTTTGCTTTAGTTTTTTCTCTGAGTTTGTTTAGATTTAGGGATTTTTGTTTTTCATTTTTAATTTACAAATGAAACATTGGGTCTGTGTTACTCGCACTCGTGTGAATGTTGGATACTGGCATGTGTTTGACACAGTAATGTTTAGCCCCCCCCCCCCCCACAAAAGTTTTTTCATATAATTGTAGGAACCTTGGAAGGTCATATCCTCACAGCTATGTATGGATATGATCGCAAATTGATGTATCAACGAAAAATGAAAAGTTAGAGTCGTACAGAATTGAGTTTTTTAATAGGCCTATATCTGTTGAATGACTTATTTGTTTGGGTTTTAGGTAATGAGCTGGAAGGGAAATCTATGGAAAACAGATATTTGATCAGTAATGTACCAAGGAAAGGGCTCAGCGACATAACCAACTTGCAGCATCAACCTCAAGTGTTGACCTTAGATGAAAAGCTGCGGCAGCAACCGGCTTCACTCAGTAGTAAAGATTACATCGAAAAACTCCAACAGGTACACTTTAAAACTGCAATTAGCGCACTTTTCCCCCTTAGGTTATCTTTTTTCCATTCAATTCTTGTTTTGTTCCTTTAGCCTACTGAAGGGTTTATTCTTTCTTCCAGGAAAATATGATGTTGATGAAAGTTCTTGCAGACCGAAAGTATCCTCTTTGATTTGTTTTATTTGTTTTCTTTCATTTCTGCCTCCGACCATTGCTTGATGTAATTGTCTCTTGTATGACTTTCTTATTGGTTTTTCTTAATTTTGGTCTATAGTAAAGTCATCGAATTGAGTGCAATTGAGTTACAGAAACTAAGAATCAATTTGGAGAAGTTTCAGCAACAGAACTTGCAACTTGCCCAAGCAAACAGCCAAATGTTATCGGTAGATTAATACCGCTTCTAATTGTCTGTTTCTCAGTTTAGTAAATCTAAGAGGCATTTGACTTTTTCTGATATTATGACTTGCTAATGAGGTCGATGTATTATATTGGTTTTGCAGGAACTTAATTCAGGGAAAGATAGGGTATATATTCTGGACATCTATGTTTCTTGAACTTGTTCATGCTCAGCCCTTTTTGTTGTATGCTTTTGAGACTTGACCTTCGACTTTTTTTTCCTTTTCAGCTAAAAGCCCTTAAACATGAACTGGGATGTAAAAATGCTGTGCTTCAAGCAATAAAATCAGAGGTATCTTTTTGCAACGGTCTACTTGGCCGAGTGTAGGTTGCAAATGAGATACATATTCTCGAAAGCTTCTTAACTTCTGTGCAGGAAAAATAAACGAATTTAACTTGGTCATTAATGAGCAGAGTTTGACTATTTTAGCAAGCAAAATTCGAGTATCCTCATGCTTGAATTGAGTGATTTACAAGTCCAGTTGGGTTACCCCATCCATCCCAATAAAGTTGTCACATTATGACTTTTGGTTGTATTTTTTTAAAAATTTAACTTATTATTATTTAAAATTTGTTATCGATAAAATTTGGGAAAATATTTTAATTTTTTTTCAATGAAGTAGTTTTCAAGTATGTATTTTTTAAAATTAATTAATTAAAATTTATAAAATAATTAAGTTAAAGTTTTTCCAAAAATGACCGATAAAAGTTGTGGTATTTTAATTGGGACAGAGGGAGCATGATTTTTTTAATATATTTTTATTAATTTATTTAGTACTAAAAAATCAATTTGAAGTTAGCTCGAGTTCAGGTACAAATAATCAAGTTCAAGGTGATCGAACTTAAGTCGAGTTTTAAGACTTAGAATTTCAAGTTGAGCTCTAGCTTGTTACTATTTGAACATGCCTCAGCTGAAGTACGCCTGCAATAGGTGCATGGTAGTCAGGTTTATTATTTCATTATGTTTATTAACTAAATACCTTGTTTCTGTCATCAGAAGAAAGCCAAGATTGTGGCTTGCCCTACATCTGGAAATGAGGTATTTACCGATCTGGATTGACTTTTCATATCAACAAAATCATTTGCAAAATATGTATTGATTTTTCTCTTATCAACATCCCATGTTATTTACGAACGCTTTTCCATGATTTGAAGGAAGGAACAAACAAATATGGCGGGGCAGGTGAATCCCTTAAAGAAGAAGATAGAGACTATGAACCTTGTTGTAGGAGAAGGTTTGGCAAGGAAGGTGAATCTCTTAAAGAAGCAAAAGGAGAGAATAAATCTTGTAACACGAACAGGAGGCGGCAATCAAAGAGTCTATGTAACTTGCATCTCTGGAACTTTATTTCGAAGTAATTAATGTTGTTCAGAGCACAATCTTCACTTATTATTTACGTGCTGCTTCAGGCCCTTCTAATATTAAACCAGTCGAAGCCAAGGAGGGAGTCGAGAACAAAAGGTTTCTGTATAATTTTTATTGCTTTCTGTTTTGAGAAAACAGTTATGTTTAGGTTTTAAAGATATCTTTTATGTTTACCCAGCAGGGTTTGTTTAAGAAGGCAATCTGCAAGATTTAAACCACAAGAGTCGGAAATGACTGAAGATGTTTTCATGGTAGATAATACAAATTTTCTTGTTCCCTCTCGTGGTGATGATGACGTGCATTTAAGTGGCCTGATATCATCTGATTCATCAGTCAAAAAAGAACCTGATGAAGAATGTATGATCCCTGGAAACGAAGCTCAAGAACTTAGGCGGGCATCTACGGGCAGGCCTTTGCGCCGAGCAGCTGAGAAGGTCCAATCCTACAAGGAAATGAAGGTTAATGTGAAGATGCGCAGAGAACTGTGAGTTCATCCTCTTTGCTTCTTCACTGCACTTTACTATGGTTGAGATGCATCTAACTTCCTATATCACAATGCTGTCATTTCTGTATAATACGTTCATATAACATTTCAATGCATCATCCATGGATGACAATTGGGAAATGCCTGAAACTGCCATTAGGTTGTTGACCGAGTTGTACTTGAATAATCTGTAGGAGTTTTGATATACATTTGCAGGTTGAATGTGTTATCCAATTTGCCCATTATATTGCTTGTATCAATTTAAAGATTCATGGTTGAGAACCCTTTATGAAATAGCGATTGATGGGCTCCAACCATGGTTAAACCCCTGGTTAGACCTATCTATAGGTGAGGTTACTATGTCTATACCAGCCCCAGATCTTGTTCATTTATGATTTGTTTGCGGTTTCAAATTTTAGTATCATGTGCTAAAATTCCATGGAATCCAAGTGAGGCTACCATTTTACTACTATAAATATGCATGAAATTTTGAGGGTGTTAAAAACTTGGATCATCTGATGACTGTTAAAGCTTGGATCATCTGATGACTGATATTATGGTCATTTTGAAGCATGAAATGGATATGTACTTGCAAACTAAGGCTTTTTTCTTGAAATTACTTGGTTTTATTCATCTTAAATTTTAGATTGTTATAGTTTCAAGTCACTCAAAATTGAAATTTTCTGAAGACGAGGTTGACTTTATATTGTTTTTTTAAAAGAACTTGTACCGTTTCTAATTTTGCTCTTTGAAAAATTAAAAAAATGTGATTGTATTTTTCCAAATCCTAATTTAACTCGAGCCTCAGTTTTTTCACTTCAATGTACATTATTCAACCGTTAAATTTATAAGTTTGATTGAGTATTAGTTTGATCTTTGCATCACTTCAGTTATAGAAGAGAAAAATGAAGAAAAACATGAAAACATGTGGGATCATCACCCATCAACTTCCTCATGCAGAAAGGTAAATCACTTTCATTGCTTTTGCATCTCCAAAACCCCGTTGCTGCACAAGCACGAAAATTCTATGGCGTCTTTTCATTTAGGAGTTATAACTATATGTTTCTAATCCCTATTGTTTTAAATTTAATAATTTTTTAATTTGATTATATAGATTCATTTCATTTCGATTCTAAAGTATCCTAAGTTCAAATATTCCAGCAATTAAATGTCATTTGTATATTTTTTAATTTCCCTCCGTCCCCCTCACTCCCACGCTGCCTCCCCCTTCCATTAAATTGAAAATATAAAACCATTTTTTTTATCATCATTAAAACAAAAGCTTTTGTTTGATGTGGGATCACTTTGTTTGTTCTTGTTCTCTAACTCTAGAGAGAAAAAGTCTTCACTTTTAACTTTTTAAGATCTTCAAAAGGTAAGCTATGGTGGCCGTTTTCCTATCTAATTTCTTCATCAAGTGATTTATGTTTTTAGTTTCTCTCTAAATTAAACCAAATCCAGTTCTAAAAACCTGCAAAAAAATTCAAAGCTTTCATCTCTTACAGTACAATCTTATTTTATTTCTTGAGTGAATCAGAGGGGTTGTTTTTGTCTCTTTAAAATGGAAGGGGGAGGCAGCAGGAGGAAGGGGGGGGGATTGCAGGGGGACGGGAGCGAGGGGGATGAGGGGAGGGGAAGAAATTAGTTTTTTTTTATGCAGAAAGTGTCCAACTTGTGTCTGCATTTCTAGTTTAACTACTAAAATTTATTTCGTTTTAGTTTGATATCTAACATTTAATTTTATGACTCAAAATAATTTATATTGTAACGAACCATTAAGTTCAGTATACTTTTAGTATTAAAAAATAATTTCTGGAAATAAGAAATTAACTAAAACAAACCTCCGTCCCCCGCACATCTTAAATGAGCTTCGCATTCTTCGCTTGATCGGAACACTGAGGGAACGCCACTGTCGGCACGATGACGACCAAGCTCTCCAACGTCGAGCTCCACCAGCAATGAGTCACGAAGCAACCCAACGATAGATGAGACAAAACTTCCACTTGTGAACACCATGAGACTATCATCCCGAACTTCTATAATTCTTCTCTGTGTTGAGAGATCATGTGTAAAGAGTGCACATAATCAATGTGCTCTCGAGTGTATGTGAGCAAAACCTCAGACTGTTAGTCTGTTAGTCAGTTAGGCGGGTTTTCTTACTCTTGTAGCTATAAATGCAGCCTTGCTCAGCTGTGTAAAGCATGAATAATATACTGCAAGTTTACATCTTATGTTGAGTTTCTAATATGGTATCTTTCGCCAAACATTCTGGGCTTCTTCTCTGCTGTGCTCTCTGACGCCAATTACTAAAGTGTTGCTTCCTGCTTGATTCGCCATGTTTACAAATAAGAAAGTGAATGTTGTTTTGGACGAAACCAATTTTCTTCTCTGGAAGCAGCAGGTTCTCTTCACGGTTCGTAGTCATCGGCTCGAACGGCTCCTTAATGGTACGATGACTGTGCCACCTGAATTTGTTGTTGATGAGAATGGGATATCTAGTGTCAATGAAGCGTTTGAAGACTTCATGGCACAAGACAGTGCTCTTGCCTCGTGGCTCTTATCCACGATCAGCGCTCCGCTTCTACCTCAGTTTGTAGGAGCTGATTCCGCAGCGGCTGTTTGGCGTACTGTGGTGCAGTTTTTTGCCAACCGCTCGACAACAACAGTCATGAATTTACACTACAAGCTGCAGTCGTTGAGGAAAGGTGATGACTCCATGCGTGTATATCTCACACGCATCAAGGAGATTTGTGATGCTCTCGAGTCGTGTGGCAGCCCGGTGTCGCAAGTTGAGCACGTTGTGAGTGTTTTAAAAGGCTTGCCAAGAGAATATCAATCTTTTATGGCTGTAATTACCACGAGTCCAGATTTGCTTACTCTGGATCGGATCTATTCCATGCTTATTGATGCCGAGACTCAATTAGCTGGATTTGATTCTCATGCTGAGAATTTCCCGATGAGTGCCAACGTTGTGCAAGGTCAAACTCATGTCACTAATACTGCTTCGGATAATACTCATGGCTACAAACCACAGCAGTTTGTCTCAATGCGTGGAGGACGGTCTGGTGGTAGAGGTCGAGCCCGCCTGCAGTGTCAATTATGTGGCAAGAATGGTCACTCGGTTGACAGATGCTGGTATCGGTTTGATCGTGATTTTGTTGGTGTCCTAGCGAATAATGCTCAGTCGAAAGCTAAGGATGAATCCAGCAGTGTCAACTATGTGAGCCTTGACAATGTTAGTTGTGCATGTTGTACCAATAAACATTGTGCTGCTTCGGTGCAAGCTGGTGGTGCTCCCCAAGCTAATGTTGCTGCGTCTCATCGTGCTCAGTGGGTGGCTGATTCGGGGGCTACACATCACGTGACCCCGGATGCATCCAACATAGCTCATATCACTGATCTTGATGGTCCAGGTAACTTATTGGTTGGAAATGGAGTTTCCCTTAGTGTAAATACGGTTGGTAAATCCTTATTACATTCAGCGTCATCCTCACGAGCTTTGTTGCTCACAGAATTATTACATGTGCCTCAAATTACTAAACATCTCATTTCGGTGTCAAAGCTTGCTAGGGACAATCACGTGTTCTTTGAGTTTCATGCGGGTGAATGCTGCATTCGTGATGAGGCATCAGGTGAAGTTATACTACGAGGGAATCAGCAAGGTGGTCTTTATACATTTGCGTTGGATAATAATAGTTTGAGTACTTGTAATAAACCAAAGGTGTTTTCGGTGGATGTCTCTTGTAATGCACTTGATCTGTGGCATAGGAGGTTAGGACACCCAGCTCTTCCTGTTTTAAAGACTGTTTGTAAGTCAATTGCTGTTGATATTTCGAATAATGCAAATCAAACGTGTGTTGCTTGTTGTTTGGGTAAAAGTCACAAGTTACCCTTTACTGAGTCCGATACTATATATGATGTTCCATTCCAGCTTGTTTTCTCTGATCTCTGGGGCCCTGCACCTGAGCTCTCGGCTGGAAATAGATATTACATTTCGTTTGTAGATGCGTGTACAAGATATACATGGGTTTATTTTTTGAAGGACAAGTCACAGGCACTTGTAGCTTTTCAAATGTTCCAAAGGATGGTTAAGACACAATTCTCTCTACCTATAAAAGCTGTGCAAAGCGACTGGGGAGGGGAGTACAGAAACTGGGCGAATGAATTAAACCAAGAAGGAGTTTTACATAGGGTCACGTGTCCTCACACGTCTGAGCAAAATGGGGTAGTAGAACGTAAGCATCGACACTTAGTAGAGATGACGCTTGTGTTGTTAGCTCAAGCCTCCCTTCCAGTACATTTTTGGTCATATGCAGTAGCTACTGCAGCTCATCTTGTGAACAGATTGCCCACCAAAGTGCTCGGCAACGTGTCACCATTTGAGAAGCTATTCGATAGGAAACCAGACTATAAATTGCTACGTGTGTTCGGTTGTAGGTGTTTCCCACACTTACGAGCGTTTCAACCGCATAAGTTGATGCCACGATCCAGAGAATGCACGTTCTTGGGTTATAGCACTCAACATCGAGGCTTTCAGTGCATTGACCCCAATGGTCGAGTGTTTATTAGCAGGCATGTTAAATTTGATGAGTTTGTTTTCCCTTTTGCAGAAAAAAAACTACTACATGCTGTCACACTCAGCCTTCATCGAGATCAGCAGCTCTTGAGATTATTGCTAAGCATCACAAGCCATGTCTTCAAGAAAAACTGCCACAGCATGCGTCTGTTAGTGACACTTCGCATGTAGATGCTGTGTTAAGTGAAGATAGTCACGACTCCTTGGTGGCGGGGGCCGATCTGCCCGATAGTGATAATGTTCTCTTGCTGCCTGCTGAAGGTTCCTTCTCAAGTGCTGATTCAAGTAGTAGTGCTGAGAACAATGTCGATATGCAGCCTGTCAATGAAGCCTCAGTTGAGTCTTCGGTTGAAGTTGTTCCTGTTACCAACAATCATCCCATGCTTACACGCAGTAAGTGTGGTATATTCAAACCGAAAGTGTTTGTTAGTGAGATCGGTGGGACAATTCCTACGGATGTCCATCAGGCTATGCAGTCGAGCAACTGGGCAGCTGCTGTGCAAGATGAACTAGCAGCCTTGCAACGAAATGGTACGTGGTCGTTGGTGACACTGCCAGCTGGACGAACAACTGTTGGGTGCAAGTGGTTGTTCAAGTTAAAACAGAATCCGGATGGCACTGT